TCTCCATTTTGAGGATATGTTACAAAAATATCAGAAATATCCATTTAAATGTATGCTTTGTGGTCCACTACAGCTGACAGTGGCATCATGTGTTTCAACTTCTTAAAGACAGTGGTCCAGATAGTTCCAGAGAAGGGGACTTTCTAATAGGGAAATGAGAGTTCCTCCCTCCTCATCACATCACCAGATGTACCACATCTGGCTACAGCATCCCTCAAAAAGAAGTTAATACAGCTTGGGACTACAGCAACTTTTCTCAAGTTCCATGGGATGATGTGTGTCCTCTCCCACACACCTGTCTAGCTCCAACCCATCCACTTCTCCTGTGTGGATCTTGACATACGCAGCGAGCCCCCTCCATATGCAGATCTCAGCAGGCACAATACAGCCCAGTGTTAACGTGTTTTTCCTGAATGCAGCCACTTAGATATTCTATAAGAAACAGCTGTGTCAAAAGGGCCAAGTCAAAAATGCTGGACAGATATAGCACATGATAGTTGTCAGAGCAACGTTATTAGTGGCACAGATGCTCACAGTAGGAGATCTTTATTGCTCTGAACAAACCCAATCTAGCCCCTTAGCACTATGGCAATAAAGATACAGAGCTCAAGGAGAAATATCCAAGTAGATATAGCAACCTGCCTCTAGAAATCATTCCTAGAGTGGAAAATACATCAGCACTGTAGGCTAGACAGAAAATTAGGAAGTTATTTATTGCAAAATACCCTATTGGGTATGTAGAGTTGCTAAGTTTATTTAATGAGCATTAAAATCCATGTCCTTTTCAGCTCTAATTGGATGATAAATTCCTTGCATTGTTTCCAGAATCAGCATTGGAATACTCTATTAGGAGAAAACCTTGATGGATTTTTTTTAATTGAGTTCAAACAGATGGCTTAATTTCTGAAATGCTAATTTACTGCTGTGAGTTCTATATTTCATGGCACTTTATTTTTGATTGACACTAAGGGCTACGTGCACAAGGTGTAGACAATCCTGCTTTCTATAGGAAGTGAGGTCGGCAGCTCTGCACTCACAGTTGTATTACTACAGGACTGTGAAACACAATCCAGTGCATAGGTCAGACCATGATGCATCTTTTCCTAATCTGGGGAGTCCAACAAAATATAGTTTAACTGGCTACTGCCTCCCATCACCTCCAAAGCATGATGATCCCTTTTCTATAAAATCAGTATTAGAAATCTAGAATGTGACATCCCATTAATTAGATTCACAGACCTGCTTTTTTAATTATTCATTAAATGAGTTATACACTTCAGTACAGATATAACCATTATACAGTTATTCTGTATTCCCATCCTGCACAATAATCTTGGGAATCTATCCATAAAGACCTGGATGATATACGATAGGAAATAAACCTGCTATCGGAGAGACAGACCTAGATGACCTCACGATTTTTTTCGGTCTCTAATTTTGCTTACGCACTGGGCATATCCAGACATTGAACATAAAGACATTATATGCATTTTCATGATGTATATCCAAACTCAAAAATGGCTGATTTATAAACCTGTGGTTACTTGGGCCTCCATTCAGCATGGTACCTGTGCTTGAAGTTTGGCATGTGCCTATCTTCTGAACTGGGGTCTTGAAAGTAAAATTCAAAATAATTACTCAACTGTGAAATTTTATGACAAATTCTGCATTCTAATCCCAAACAAGCAGTCCTTAAAGCAAAATTTCCTGGTAGCTAAGTAGCAAGAGTACCTTAGAATATGGGTAACAATGCTAATAAAAATAATGCATAGTTTTGTGCAATTAAAATCTTTTATGTACATTCATTTATTCACACAAGCAGATTTTGCATACTATGGTAGAGGTAGTATGTATTGAGAAATTTACCACCAAAATGTTTTGTTTTACATACATGTGTTTTCTGACAGAAAAATACTTTTTTATGAAGTTCTAAGGAAATCTACTCTACTGTGCCACTTACAGATAATAGGACAGCCCAAAGATTTTCATTATACGTATTACATCCTTGCTATGAGCTAAATACTATCTGAAAAAATATTACACAGTAGATCAGTGATCAGAAAGATTCTCCTTCTAATTAACTAAAAATATTAAATTATTATTCTTAAAATTATTAAAATGAATTGATTTTCTGGTGAACAAAGGGTTAATTAATATCAAATTGGTCAGATTATTTTATAATTCCTTGCTTCCCTCATTAAATTCCTATTAACATAATTATCCAAATTCCATAGTTTATACAACCTACACAAATTAGATACACAATTTGAGCATTTGATACACAATTGTAAGCATTCTAGCAATAATAAGGATGAGAAAGATTTAATATATAGGGTAAAAGGGCAAAAATGTTCATTGATGAAAAATTTTTAGGAATGCACCGCCACTATCATACTACTTTAACAAAACAAATCTCATGAAAACAAGTCTCTCTCCCTCTGCAGAGTATTTCTGTATAAACAATTTTGCTGTTTGAAAAATAACTTTCATAATTATTGTCTCATATTTTGCGTTATTTTTTTAAAAGAGTACCAGTAATTAAAGGGTTTGATTTTCTTTCAACAGGGAGGCAAATCAGGAGCAACTCCAGTGAAGCCAACAATGTGACATTTGTGTAAATGAAAGAAGAATCATGTCCAAAATGGTTTGCCTGCACACACACTAAATAACACAAGTTCAGTTAAACACTTTTTTTGTATATTTTAAACTTTGTTTCAAGTAGTTAAGGTTACTCAAGTGTGACATCCAGCCAGTGTATCCTCTTAAAATAGGAAATACTAAATTACGGGACATCTCTTAACCAAGCCTTAAAGTCCTCACAACAGGGTTCCAGTGATTGCTTTAAATAGGATCAGAATTTGAATATTTAACTGTTTTCACTGTTAACTAAACAAGAGTGTCTGCAGAAAGATTTCTTTCTAAATGGAAAGAGCTTCTGTCTGTTTTCTTTGTCTATTTTTGTTCTCTTAAATTAAAGCTGAGAACAGTCCTATTGTGGTTTGAAACCTCCCAGAGCCACAGCTCACACATGAAGATGGAACACAAGAATGTTAGGGAAAGGATCTAAGCATTCCATACTACGGAATACTGTGTTCAGTTTTAGAGCCTTTGCTTTTACAGAGTTGCTAGCTGGCATGAGTATGTGCAAAGCGTCATAGGGGATGATTGTAAAATAGTCTCATGTATTTCCCAAAGGAAATTCAGTGTTTTCCACAGCTGAACTTGCTTTTCAAATTAGACAACTCATCTGGATATTCCACTTCAGTATGGCTGGTAAATATCCAGTTTTAAATATAATCTTTCCAAGAACCTGTCTTCTGGGAGGTACCTTGTCCCCAGGCAGAGATTGTTACGAGGGGGGATATTTGAATAAAGACAAGAGAGAAGCACTAATCTTCACTAGTACAAGGGCTCTTCAAGATCAAGCACATCTTTGGGATCTTCTGACAGGCAACTGTGTACAAGGTATTGATACAGTTTAAAAGTGTTTAATAGGAGTTGGAATGAACCATCACCTAATAGCTGAAGGGAAGCAGGCTGTACCCCTGGCAAATGACCCTAAGCAGGGGCCAGAGAGTGGATCAGCACGTGGGTTAAAGGCAGCCCAGTCAAGAGAACAGCAGGGGCTGGAGCCTGTGTAATTTTCCCTGCCCTCCCACCATAAGCAGGTGACAGGAGGGGAGGAATCATTGTCAGGCCTGTCCATGAGATGATGAGAGGAATCTGCAGAAGCTCCTTTCACTGCTGAAGTGGGATGGTGTGCGGAAGTCTCACAGGCAGATGGTGTTGGTAGCAGGGAACTAGGCAGGTATGCATATGGTGCACATAATCCTGGCAGCTCAAGCAAGCAGTAGGAGTTTCAACACCATGGAACAGCTCACCTTTGTATTTTCTGGACATCCAGAAGCAAGTTTGGGGACAGACTTGGAAGTACACATCTGTATTCATTTCACAGTTTAGTGGATGCAGGACCAAAAATGGGTCACATGGTAACCACATAGTATCAATTTTGGGTAAACAAAGAAAGTGAGTAGAAGGAATGCTGAAGAATCCATTCCTGCCATGAGTGCCACAACTGACATATTGGAAGCTGGGACCAAGTTTATGAAGATTGACTTCAGCAAATAGGGACTGGTCTTCAGTGAAGATGATCAGACTGAATTGCTTAAGATTCAGTCATCTTCCACGGACTCACCTTTGCTGTAGTCATTGTTCCTACCCAGGCTAATTGAAAGGGCTTGCAAAGATTCAGGAGGAAGGCAAATAGGGAAATCTGGTGTTTGTGCAGCATAAGGAAGAATTTACAAGCTAAAGCAAATTTTGATTATATATGTTTGCCTGGGATTATCAGGCTGGACAGAGATACATGTTGGAAAGAAGATCTGACATTTACTATTCATTTTTTAAAATTTATTATTCTTCTTGTATGCAGTGTGACAAAGTTCCTGCTCTACCTTGGTGGGTCTTGCACTTATTTGGCGGATTTGTTCGCCTTGGAGCTTAATGGCAGCCCTCAGCTTGGCTGTTTTTCTGAATTCACAGTCCAGGTTGACTCCTCCTGTGTCTGACCAGGAGTTGGGAGGTTTGGGGGGAACCGGGCCCACCCTCTACTCTGGGTTCCAGCCCAGGGCCCTGTGGAATGCAGCTGTCTAGAGTGCCTCCTGGAACAGCTGTGCGACAGCTGCAACTCCCTAGGCTACTTCCCCATGGCCTCCTCCCAACACCTTCTTTATCCTCACCATAGGACCTTCCTCCTGGTGTCTGATAATGCTTGTACACCTCAGTCCTCCAACAGTCCGCGTTCTCACTCTCAGCTCCTAGTGCCTCTTGCTTCCAGCTCCTCACACGCACGCCACAAACTGAAGTGAGCTCCTTTTTAAAACCCAGGTGCCCTGATTAGCCTGCCTTAATTGATTCTAGCAGCTTCTTGATTGGCTGCAGGAGTTCTAATCAGCCTGTCTTAATTGTCTCCAGAAGGTTCCTGATTGTTCTGGAACCTTCCCTGTTACCTTACCCAGGGAAAAGGAACCTACCTAGCCTGGGGCTAATATATCTGCCTTCTATTACTCTCCTATAGCCATCTGGCCTGACCCTATCACAGCAGACATCAGAGCTCAATTTCCAGGTTCAGTAACCAGATAATAGCCCCTGTATCAAAAGAATTGTATACCACCCTTCAGATGTTGAGTTGGGCACTCTTCCACCACAGGAGCTATTATCTTCAATGCTGCCCAACAGTCACAGCATGGAGAGGCTAATCCAGTGCATAGTTGCAGCAATTCTGGATGAGCCAGAGAGTAGCATCTTGATCCTGATCCAGGATTGACAACCAAGCAGACAAGAAGGTAGGTGCAGTGATGCACTCCTGAATTTACTTATTCTGTTAGACTCTTTTTCCCACGATGGTTCCGCCCTTAGAAGAACAAGTTCACTGCCTTCACATGGCACCCTCAGTCAGGAGCAAAAGCAAAGCCAATGTAGATGAAATGCAAAATTGAAATTCAAGTTCTCATCATAAAAAGAGAAAGACAAAGTTAAATTTATAATACTAGAGAAGCTACCTATCCCGTCTTTATGCCATAAATTAAAAAACATTAACAACACTGACTATACGGAAGCATGCTTCTCCTGGGAGGGCTATGTAAAAATAACACAGTAAATGGTAGGGGTTTCCAGGAATCTAGGAAGACAATCTACTTTCAACAATTAGGCAGTTCCATACCTAGTAGTGGTTTGATTTCATGATGAAGGATCTGATATTGCATGTATGATGTTGGTCATGAAATCCATATCACAAGCATTTGGAAAAACATGGCATACTGCACTTTTTAGAAGTGTTTACATATTGTATTGCACTAGCCATTTATATCAACCCTTCAAGTCAAGAAATGCTTTAATTTTCCACAACATGATTAGGCTATCCAGTGGTGACTGTATTTGTTTTGCCTAAAGGTGCAGTTCTCCTTACCCACTCATTCTATGTGTGTGTCTTTGTGTCTGTTGTTACAGTAAGATATTTAATCAAACCCCTTTGAAGTGGTAGAGTGGAAACAGCTGTATCTGACAATGTGCTGATGACGTGGGACTTAAAGCTGTCAAGAGCTGCAGATTGCAAGTAGCACGAGGAGGGTAGTGGCTTGCAGGTCATGGCATCTTCAAGAGGAATGTATCTAAACCAATCAGCTCAAGGTAGTGGCTCCAAGTCTCAAAGATCTGGTGAGCTTTCATTTAATACTCCAGAGGCCATTCTTCAAAGTGCCCTTTCTTTTCAAGAGTGATGGCCAGATGTGGAGGAGCTTTGGGGGGATTTGTTGTCCAAGTTCAGACTTTTAAGAAATTAGGAATGCTACATTATTACGCAAATGGTGTCCCGACAAATAAATAGAAGTTAAGTTTGAATCAATATCTCATGTTCTGGAAAAGGATATCAGATTAAACAAGTTTCTAGATGATTGATTTTTCTTCAACAAAATTAGCTTGAAGCACATTTTCAAAATGCCTAACAACATATTAAAAGAATTTCGCGGTTTCGGAGTATCACAAAGGAATGGTAACTAGATATCATCTCTAAGAACAGATCATTCTCAGTAATATTCCCATTTATATCAATTATGGGGGAACAACTAAATGTCTAGAAATTCTCTTCCTGTATTTCTTGTTGTGCAGTGGCATTTGTTATCACCAGGCTGGGTTAACATTTTCCCAGTTAACACTCATTGAGAATAATATTGCTAGAATTAACAGTCACACATGTGTAGTGATTGAGAAGATCTAATTTACCCATGGTAAATAAAGATAAATAAAATAAGAATGTATTGTTCACGCAATAGCCTTGTGACAGAAAAGAGCATAAGTAGGCTGGAGGACATGTATCTCTTTTAAAAATACAATTAAAACAAAAACAGCTTTGCATTTTTGTAGTGATTACTATATTTTACAGAAGTTTATGCTCTCCTGAAATTTGATTGGATGAAAATTGTTATAAGTGACATTAGCATATCTCTGTTGATAATAGGGCTGACACATGAATATTCTTAAGGTGGAACTAATAACAGGCAGAATGTTTTCTTCCTGCTTCAGGGCTGCACCTCATATTCTACTGCTGTTGGGCTGCATTTTCATAATTCTTGTAGTCCAAAATTTCCAATATTTTCGGAAGCAACCAGAGTAGGAAAATAAGCATTTTCAATATTTTTCAATACAATCACAGAATCATAAAATATGTAGAGTGGAAGGGACCTAAAGATGTCATATAGTCCATCCTCCCATGCTGATAGGGTACCTACACACTCCCTGATGGGTGTGTTCCCAACCTGTTCTTAAAAGCCTTCAGAGATGGGGATTCCACAATCTCACTTGGTAATCTATTCCAAAACTTAACTCTCTTTATAGTTAGAATGTTTTTCCTAATATCTAACTGATAACTCTCTTCTTTGTACCAGGCCTAAAGATATTTGAAGACAGTTAACAAGTTTCTCCTCAGTCTTCTTTTCTCCAGACTAAACATGTCTTGTTTTTTAACCTTTCCTCATAGATGAGGTTTTCTAAACCTTTTATCATCTTTTTGCTCTCCTCTGGACTCCCTCCAATTCATGAATATCTTTCTTAAAGTGTGGTGTCCAAACCTGGACACAGCGCTCGAGCTGAAGACTCTCCAGGGCTGACTAGAGCAGCACAGTTACCTCCCATGTCTTACAGAAACACTTCTAGTCTTTTTTTTTTTTTTGCAACTACACCACATTGTTGGCTTTTATTCCCTTTGTGATCCACTATAACCCCCAGATCTTGTTCAGCAGTACTACTGCCTAGACAGTTATTCCCCATTTTGTATTTCTTCATTTGATTTTTCCTTCCCAATTGAAGTACTTTGCACTTGTCCTTGTTGAATTTCATCTTGTTGATTTCAAACCAATTCTCCAATTTATCAAGGTCCTTTTGAATTCTAGTCCTGTCCTCCAAAGCACTTACAACCCCTCCCAAACTGGAAATTTTATAACCATACTCTTCACTCCATTATCCAAGTCATTAATGAAAATATTGACCAGTCCTGGACTCAGGACATATCCCAGGGAGACCTAACAGATACATCTTACAATCACAAGTTTATTCAGTGATGAAAGCTTTTACCAGGATTTTTGAAGGATTTCACTGTACATCAACCTGATCTTTAAAAAAAATCCTATTACTGTATTAGTTAGTCTATTTCAGATTGAATATTTCTCCTCTTGCCACCAAACTCTTTTTCCCCCTCACTCTGAGCATTGAGCCTTTTTACAACTACTACAGTAAAAATGAATTAGTTCAGCGGCAGAGAGCAAAGTGGCTCAAGATGAAGAACTTTATTGCAGTAGCCTCTGCTGCTTACAGCTGTGCCCTAACCTTATGGCAATGTACAAAACAGAATAGATGTGCAAGAAACAAATGCTCCAATAGAGATGAAATACTCTGTCTACAAAAACTACAGTATTAGTCAAGTGAGTAATTCAGGGTGAAAGTCACACAATGTGAGACTATCTATTCATTGCTACAGATAGCTGAAACAATTTTCACAAAACAAGAACCAGCTTGAACCTTTGCTTATCCCGCAGATTGAACAGACTAAAAAGCCAGAACGGACCATTGTGATCATCTTGTCTGACCTCCTGTATAATACAGGTCATAGAGCTTCCCTGAATTAACTCCTGTACCCAGCGTCCCTTGCAGTCTTCTGCTGGGGCAGCTCACTTGTGCTTAAGTCCATGCCATCACATCTTCACTACTATTGTTAACCATGCTTGTTAGATTAAAGTTAGCATAGGTATGCTTACCCATGCTACAATCACCCCTCAGTTTACAGTGTAGCTGTACACTAGTCTAGAGTGAATAATTAAAAGTTATGAATAAAACAGTAAGGTATGGAAAGGTCAGCAGAATTGAGACAGAAACAAAGTAAACTGATAAGAAAAAGTTTGATCTGTGTAAGAATTAGGGACCGATATCTGCCAAGTGTCATGCACCTTGTAGGTGTGTCATCCATTCCTACTTTCAGCTTTCCCCGGGGGTAATCCATCTGGAAAACCTATCCCCCTCTATCCCTTCCCCCAAGGCCTCACCCTCGCTCTGCCTCTTTTGCCCCCACTCCATCCCTTCCGCCTCTTCTTGCCTCCACTCTGCCCCCCATCCTGCCTCTTCCCATCCCTGCTCCACCCCTCCCCCAACCATACCCCTGCCCTCACTCTGCCTCTTCCTGCCCCTGCTCCTCCCTCTCCCCCCAGCACCTCCCGCCTGCTGCCAAACAGCTGATTAGCGGCAGGCGAGAGGCACTGGGAGGGTAGGGGAAGAGCTGATCAGCAGGTGGCTAGTGGGTGCTGAGCAGTCACTATTTATTTTCCTGTGGGTGTGCCAGCCCTGGAGCACCTATGGAGTCAGTGTCTATGTCCTGCACAATCAGTATGATATCACACATATTTTTATGAGAGAAAAAGACATCCACACTATGCCATGTGGCCTAAAGGAAGGTGCACTGAGCTACCAGCTGAAAGCCCACAAATTCTAATCCTAGTCTTCTACTCACTTCTCTTAATATATCTATCTACTTCATAACCCTTATTAACCAAAACCTCACACCTCTACCTTAGGGGAGGTATAACTATCATTCATCCATTTTCTAGCTAAGGTAACAGAGATTGGACAAGGTTATGTCAGGCAGAGCTGTTAACATAAACAAGCTGTCTACAATGACAGACCCGGGCCCTCATCCACTTTGCTACACTGCCTTTCCAGGTGAAATGGGCCAAATAATCTCTTTGTGTAACCCATGCCAAGAGCGTGGGTCTTGGTTGCTCTCAAGTGGCTAGAACATATACAGAGGTTAATGAGTTTGTTACTGCATCCATACTAATGGGAATGGTCCATTAGTTGAAGTGGCAGGCATTCATGCTTTTAGATCTAAAGATCCCAGGTTCAGTTGCTTTAGATCAATGGTGGGCAACCTGCAGCCCACGGACTGCACACAGTCTGTCAGGGTAATCCGCTGGCGGGCTGCGAGACAGTTTGTTTACACTGGTTCACCATTCCGGTTTGGTTCACCGTTCCCAGCCAATGGGAGCTGCAGAAAGCGGCAGCCAGCACGTCCCTGTGGCCTGCACCTCTTCCCACACTCCCAACGGCCAGGAACGGCAAGCCGCAGCCACTGGAAGCTGCGGATGGCCATGCCTGCGGACGGTCAGTGTAAACAAACTGTCTCGCGGCCCGTCAGCGGATTACCCACCACTGCTTTAGATGACCCAAACAGATGCCTTTACACTTGTCTGTGTAGTCTCTTATCACTAATCATACTCTACTCCCAGAGTCAGGACTCTGGAGAGCCAGCTAGTTCACAAATAGTTGTATTGCCCTCATAGAGGATAAGACCATGGCTTCCCTGTCACTTACTCCAATAGCAGATGTGGCAGTGGTCTATGCTGTGCATCTGAGGGTTGTATGTTCAAACACAGTGGCTGATCCATGCTGGAGGAAAATCTATGGAAGTTAGTGTGTGGACCCTGGCATAATTGTTTAAATGACTTTATATTGCAAAAAAGTATATTTAGAGGTTAATTTGGACATTCTGTCAATACTGGTTTTATTGATATACTTTTAGTTTTTGTATTTTGGTTAACGGGAATAGTCCCTTTAAGAGCAGGGTGGAGCACAGATGGCCTTGTATGAGGAAGACAGAGCAGCGTGTTGGAGATGTGGGAACTTGTTTAATAAACCAATCTTTCCAGAAAGCAATCTTAATGCCTGAAGGTGTAATACTAGCATTTATTAGGAGGCTAAAAGCCTCAGAACATTGTTTAATAAGCTTCAGAGCCTTTTGCCTATAGGTCACCAGTATGAATCCGTCCTAACTCAGTAGGAATTAAGTGTTGTCTCCCATTAATGCAAGTTTGGTGGCCCTTATATGCAATGAGTTTGGTGGGTCTTAATTCCAGCTGCCACAGTACAAATGCACCAACATACTTTGCACTGATTGTCAGACATAACAGAGAGGCCAAGAACTTCATGGACTTTGGAAAATGAGCTACCCCTATTGCCCTAGATCAGGGGTTCTCAAACTTCATTGCACCACAACCCCCTTCTAAAAACAAAAATTACTTCACGACCCAGGAGAGGGGACCGAAGCCTGAGCCCACCCAAGCCCCACTGCCCCAGGTGGTGGGCCCAAAGCCTGAGCCCCACCGCTCTGGGCAGGG